CAGCAAGAAACTTGCCACTGGTTTCTAACAGACCCCGACTTCAAAGTAGAAGAGTCTTATTCAGAAACAAAACAACAATTTCACACTCACTTCGAAGCGCTAAAGGAATTCCAATTGTACTTGTCCATAATCTAACAAGTTGGTTGAATTTTTTACGCCAGATTTACAAAGCTACGCCAAATCACAATTCGTCTTATATACAGTATAATCTGTAGTATCAGCGACTAAGAATAAGGCAGCTTATCATTTCCGCCTCTCTTTGATTTTGGTATCCCCTTCAGAGTCCTCTTGCAATTTCTAAACGGTTTATACACGGATTCATTTGTATGCTTATTTGGCTTTTTTTGCTTTACCTTTTTGACTTATTGCTTTACCGAACCTTTACTTGGATGCCGTTTGTAAGGCGTCCAATCCCACTTGGTCGCCGTCTTCAGGTGTACTATCGCCCATACACGCCGACTCTCTTCTGGTGCACTACACATACAATGCATTTTTTCTTCCTATTCACCCATTTTTTAGTCAATAATTCTTGAAGCACATTGATTGAGGGATGCAAAAGCTATTAGCATAAACGTATAATTGTGCCCAACTAAAAACAGTTGAAATGTTCACATGATGTATGTTAGGTCTGAGATCTTTCATTCCTTGGTGATTCCCTTCCGAATACAACATCGAATATACGATATAATATGATTGTTCCTTCACTCAAATATTTATATTGAATATACTAGAGTGCATGAACAAGAATAGTAGATTTTCCTCAAGGAAGAAGTACTTAGTGGTAATTAAATGAAGGAGTCGGACGTGCAAAAAAGAATGAAAACGAAAACGTTAGTAGGAAAGCATTATAAGACCAGATTATCTTGGCATCCGAATACGAAGCTCAAATCGTACATCCTAACGATCTTGGTATCTGAATATGGAACTTAAATCATACATTCAATGAGCATGCCTCTTACAATTGATTAATTCGAACACCAGTTGTTACATCTTTCCCACCAATCGAAGCAATTGATTCTACCATGCTTGTTTCTAGATGAGCGAAAGTCTTCGAAACGGAATATTGACGATTTTCCAAAATCCCGAAGTATTCCGGCCATGTGCACAGTTCTTCGCTACATAATGGGGATTACGTGCAAAAATTGTATTGATCATAAAATGATAAAAAAATTGACTTTTGTTTCTGATTTTGGACGAAATCACGAAATGTTAGGTAGCAGGCAACGACCATTACTTCGTTATTTCGTCGCTGGTAAATAGTGCAGACGATACTATATTATATACTGCTGACAAGTCCTATATGACCAGACCTAGAGCGTTGAGGGAAAGGAAGCAGAGAACGAATGATTCAATGCAGTACGTAAATATGTGATGGTTGGTGTGGAGATGAATTCGGGCTAATTGCGATTCAATGAACGTGCAGGGCAGTATCACTCACTCTCATCAAAGCTCTGCATTTGATTTGTGCTCTCAAAGAGCGTATTAGTTAATTTTTGTGGAGCAGAGCAAAATATACCAACCAACCACCAAACTTGAGTAATCATCTCACGAGATTAGAAAATACACGTGGTTATTGGTCTGAGATCGCCGTCTAACTCATTAAGGCTTCCTTCTCTCCGAGGTCGACAAAATTAATATCAAACTTGTCTGGGAGATTCCCAACAGTAGCTTGACAATCTATACAGATTCTTTGTCCTATTATTTTATCAGTGATGGACTTTAACAAGTATTCATCTAGGAATGTTGAGTGGTAGGTGAAAATTTCACCTCACACGGGAGGTAAACTCTGCTGCACCTTACTGGAATTGCGTGCTACTACTGCTCCATCGAGGCCACCGCTTTGCTACCACACTTTCTTCTATATGAACTATCGCAGCTCTCAGCAACCAACCATTAACACGTCGACAACGATCTGAGTTATTTTCGAATTATAACGCACACCACATGTGCGGCATCACGGCGCGGCGGGAGTTTTCATTATCACACCTTGCAACAAAAATTTAGAATTTTGTTTGGTATTCTCAGGTACTGTGGAGATATTAACATGATGAAAGGATGAAATATAAGAAAAGAGACCTCTATAAAAAGTTCTAGATTCAAAAATGTTTATGTATAAAAAATCATCTATGTTTAAACGGGAAAAGCACGTTCTTGTGAAAGGAACATATTTCCAGCTGTTACATAACTTCGTTTCTTTGCTTTTCATCAATGTTTTTGCATTCATTCGATAGCCTGAAATATGCTTAATTTTCCATTAGGTTTGCTTTGTAAAATGACTTCTGTTTCACTTCTTACTAACGAAAAAAGCAAACGTTTTGCAAGCAGAGTCCGTCTTAGTGAGTATTTGCCTATACCCTCGAGATTCGAGAATTTATGGGAGAGCATCGCCATTGCTTCTGCAACAGATAGCTTTGTCAACGTCTCTTCTATCAAATGTTATCACTTACTAGCGACGAACTTTCTTCTAATGACGAAAAAAATCCACATCTCATTAGAAAATTACCACAACTAGCGGGCCGCTCTCGCCTCGCCACGGCGCCGCGTGCCGCGCAGAATTTCAAAGTCGTTGTCAACGTGTTAAAGGGTTTAGTAGGCTAGGCCCATATCGGCGTCAAACCTTGCTGAGCTGACAGCTACTGGCTATGTGTGATCTACATAAGTTCTTTGTTTCAGTTTTCAGCTGTCGCATGAAGTCAAAAATATTCATCTACGAATGTTGAGTGGCAGGCGAAAACTTGAAATCCGGATAATAACTTGATCCCTCGCTAGTCCGTAAAAATTCATTTCACAGAACAGGTATGCACTCAGTCAGCTCTAACAGTGCTTGGAGAAGCTGTCGTGTTGTCAAAGGCATTGATCAACTTCGCACACTTTATCCTCTAAACTTTCAATATCGCTGTCACTAACATCAGCCATGTACGCGAACATTCAGTATCCATTTCAAATTAAGAAAAGTGTTCCTATTCGATAATTAAACTTCATTTCACGGTCCTTGCTTCCTTCGATGTTGTTATTGAGGCGCTGCCATCAGTTCGAGACACGCTCAATCACATAAGGAGTGAATTTCCTCTGAGTTACTCAAAAAAAAAAACTTTGAAGTATGTCTGACGCTGTTGTTTGGCATGACTTTTACCTTCTAAATCTAGTTAAGCGAGACAGTAAAATGCAAAGTATGAGTTACTGTCATGAATTTTCAAAGTCTATCCCCTTCCTCCACCTCGCAACACCAAATAAAAAGTTTAGCTTGCAACAGGACAGAATCTGAACTATAGCACAATAGATATAAATAATTCCTCAAATTGTTCTCAAAATGAAGTCGAAAAAGGATTCTAGGAAAACATAATGGAAGTCATTATAATCCTGTTAGCTGGGCTTTTTCTTCGGTACGCATCAGCATAAAGTCCTTCATTCCTTCTTTATAGTTAACGTTCACTTTTCTACATTTCACCTTTTCTTTTTATTCTTTCTGTTTTTAGAGCTTACTTACAAGATCTCATTACGCAAATTTTACCTTATTTCGTTGGTTGAAACAAAATGTGTTTGCGATATTGCGAATACAAACGCACGCGTTCACGATTTCATTTCACGATTTCATTTTGCTAATTTTAAAACGAAATTTTGTCGAATATTTAGCATCGGTTATGTTGTCAGAATCAGGTGAACCGTATACGTAATGTGTTTTACCGACAAGCGATTGATGGAAGCCGTTGCCGACTGGTTTACTCAAGATGTCAAATAAGCAAAAGTTTTTACGAACGGCAACTCGATGGTCTACTTTCCAGACAAAATGTCCTAGAGAGAAAAATAACGCTCAGGATTCTTAAAGCAAGGAGAGCCTCTTACTGACCACTCTTGCACGCAACAGGAGAAAATGGAAAATTTTTTGGCGCCCACTCGAGTCGCTTGACGATCAACTTGTGGGCAGTACATACAGGTGATGTTCTCAAAGTGGAATAGAAGCGAGATTTTCACAGATAAAAGAAAAAAATGAACACTTGGACAGGATATTCGGCAGCAGTCTTAGCCTTCAACCACTATTTTATTTATTCTTAAAAGTAGGTGCGGGGAAGTGCAACCATAACAAGCTACAATGTGAGGAAAACTTGAAATCTGATGTTGTGTAATGGACTCAAACCGACAGTTGCCCTTTCCGGAAAGGTTCACCTTCGCATCACGCAATATTTGCCATCGATTTGTCTTTCTCACAGGCGTGTATCAACCTCCCAAATAACAAATTGCCTTTTTAACCATGTCTTCATCGTGATTGGTACTCAATGCCGACATATGCTCCCTGAATCAACTACGTTGATGAGTGATTACCTACTCAATCCTTGCTAATCTGGTACTGATGAGTGTGCCTCCGAAAAAGGTAGTTCTCGATTCGAATCCATTACAGAAAAATTAGCAGATTTCAGGTTTTTCTCGAACCTCATCACTCTGAAAATTCGACAACAGTTCTACGAGAATTCCACCGTGACCATAATCTTCTGCAACAACCATCTACTCGCGCGATTACCAGTGGAGTCTTTATTCGTTCAGTAGAGTTCATTTCCACAACATAAACATAGTCGTCACACTTTTATGCATAATCCTTTCTAACAATGTCCTCAACAAAAAAGATTAACACAGATGGTCCGTCCGACTACGTCGTAGCATCGGTCTTATATTAGCTGAACTTCCTGATGGGATTCGCAACTGCTTAGCTTGAAAAACTTGGGGAGACACCATGGTGCACATGGAGATCCATTAAAGGACATACTCTTACTACTATGATGTATAGCACACTGCCTGAGTAGTTACATGTCATGGTGTATTATTCAATATTGTTTTAACTTCCATTTTGTTTGACACATAACGCCTGAAAGTAGTCTTTCGAAAAATGACAATCATTTTTTGATCGATGAAATATTCGAGAATAGAATTCTTTTTTATTTGACGCTTCTAGAGGTGGTATGATTTCACAGTATACCCAATGATGTAGAGACGTGTGCAAAAACTTTCGCGTCAGTTGGGACTTGAACCCACATTTCACTCTATCTGAGAGCGCGTGGTGAACCGTTGCACTACCGACGTCTGTTTTGACAAGGTACAAAGGACAGAGCTCTCGGCGTTGATCAATCCTTGAGGGATGTCCGCCATGCATTCGTCTCCAATTTTTAATGTCTTTTGAGGTGATTGAATGCATATATGGCCTTTATAATGACTCGCAATGGTCTCCCGCTGTACCGATTCAGTGCTGCTTATCCTTCCGACAAGTCTGAGACCTGTCTGGTACCAATTTACCAACCCCGGAGTGATGGATGGCTTTGTGAGCCATGAACGCGAGACAAACCATTGAATTCGTGTGCCACGCAGAGCACCTCTAACCACTGCGCCACATGCGCTCTTCCGTTTTGAAACCACTTTTTATTCGAGAATATTTCTGAAAAAATATTCAAAACTTGAAGACGTAGTTTGTATACTAAATTTTCTTATAGGTTTTGGGACTGCAGCAGTAAACACCAAATTCATTAACAAGTAATTGAAACTGCTTAATAACACTATCGTAAGCGCCATCAGCCTGAACACAACTGTACCATCTCTCCATAGTCGAAGTCAAACCCTTTCCACTTGCTTCGATGACGGCCTCTCGATTAACTTCGGGCGGACATTTGGAGCGTGTTGAGCAATTTTAACTACTTTTTGTTAATGCATTTGGTGTTCAATGTTCGAGTGCCAAAACCTATGAGAATACCTCATATTAAAAGCTTCCAACACAAGCACAGGGATTGCAAACATAAGCAATATACTGCGGGCATCACTATGTCCCAATATTTGGACCTCAGGTTGCTCCGGTTTCGTGTTTGAGTAGAGAATGATGCAAAAAATTCGTAAAATTATGTGCTAGGTGCTCCAAGAAACTGGAATTTTGTTTGATGAAAAAAGATTTGAATTTTGAGAACACCCGTAGATTTTAATGGTTTCTATTCCAACTAACAAAAGATATAAATAAAGTTCTTAAGAATTCTTAATCGTCTTTTCAAGGTTGGTTACAAATTCATCCGTGGCAACAGTTCGGCAGACACGCGTGTTCCGGAGCTTTTGTACCACTTATCATACGGATTGATCGCCGAAGAATGATAAATTAAAGAATGTAACGAAATATAATTTGAGCTGTGGATTTTTGGTTTAAAGTTGGAAACAACCATACCTTCGTATCAAGTGCATTGAATCCGATGCACAGTGGGGGCTCCGCATTGAGCGAGAAAATTTAGTGCTATGCACTGAATCTGCACGCAAGAAAAAGTTTCTGGGGAACAGATGCAAATGAGCAGTTACAGGAATGGAGATTATCTCAAGAAGCTTCATAGATTTTTTATCATTCCAGTTAGTGTTAGAAGCAAAACTGTTAAGAAAGGGCAGATTGTATGAGTATTGTGTGACTTTGTTGGTGAACCATAGCAAAACGCTGACGCTTGAAATAGAATCAGATAAAAATTAAGAGATATTTCTCGTTGGAACACTTAGAGAGTTAGTATCTTAGAGCAAAGGCTGATATGGACTGAGACGCACGTAGAAACAGGGAGCAGCATTACCAATTCTCTTTAATCTAATACGACTCAGAAACAATTCAGAGCAGTTAGCGTGCGTGATTTTCGTTGTGTTTTAGACGGATTTTGCTTGGAACTATTGCGAATAGTGAGCGAAATAGCGTAGAAAAATAGTGGTGTCAAAACGGCGTCGGTAGTGCAACGGTTCAGCACACGCCCCCGGATAGGCAAAATGTGGCTTCAGTTCCCGTCCGCGCTAATGTTTTGCACAACACTCAACAATATCGGGTGTATCTGTAACATCTACGCACCGAGAATACTATCCAATATTCCACTTCATTCCGTCATTCTGCTCGGATTAGATAGTATATAACCGATGGCGCACTAGTCATTACGCTCGAAAGGTATACTATGCTTTTTGAGTTTCATCGGTTCTAGAGTTTCAAAAGCAGATCGAAATAAACGACGTCCTGCGCATTAAAAATAATCTGCAAAAATTGTCTTTCCTCATTGACTGGTAATTTGATTGATAGCTATCATTTCATGTAGGAATGTTGAGTTTCATGCAAAACTTCAACATCGGGCAAAAGTTCAAACCGCGTTCTACTCAAGAGGGATAACAACCCATTGGCATCGGTGATGTATTGGTAGCATGTGCCTCCGGTATGGTTGAAACGCGGGTTTTACTCTCTGCGAATGCCGGATGTTTTTTATACCACTTAAAAAGTAGATTTTCAATAACATACTACCGCTAAAAGATAAACAGTTTTTCAGTTTATAACTAGCACCTCGTTTCAGTCGCTTTGAAGAATCACAGGTATTACAATGAAATGTACAGATGTAAAAAATACTATAATAGCTTCAGAATAAGCTGAAAACATTCCAAATGTTGACAGCTACGTGTTTGTAATTGTACCATAGTAACGCATACTTAATAATAGCATACTATCATTAACACCCACAGCACGATAGTATGTCTCCTCCAGGACTCTCTCTCGTACCCTCAACTTCTTTGCTTAATGAGAAAATATTATTTATTCTCAAAAATCACAAGTTCTATGATGCTAGGAAATTTCTCGTATTTTATACGGCTAAACGGAAAAAGCTGAGGCAAGCAAAATGAGCTTGATCCCTTAAAACATTTCGCAGTATAACTGGCTATACAAGTTGAAGCTAAGTGAATTCATGTGTACGTTCAAGAATATCATAGCAAAGCAAGTAATTTCATCAAGAAATCGAATTAGAAAATGTCGTCTCTCGTACACTAATAAGTATGCCAACATGAAACAAGCGTTATGAGACCTCCATTAGGATTATTGGAGCTGTAGTCAATATTCTTCATAGAAAATATCACGAGCTATTTGCTTTTGTTACTTGCTTCTTACTGGATGAGAGCCGTTGCCAACTGGATTCCTCGGAACATCAAGCGCTCTGCAGAAAGACCACCGAGCCGTTGGTTCTATTTCTTCACGAAACGATTAAAAGAAAAGTATGATGCTCAACGAATCCCTGAGAGAGAAGTATCCACTGGGCTACTCTGGCAGGCGACAGGGAAAACTGATAGTTTGCTGGTGCCCGCTCGAGACACTCGACGATCAACGGGACGACAAGTGATGCAAGTGGTACTTCTTACTGCTTACGTAACAACTCCACATTCTATTGAAAGTTTTGAAGGATTTCAATGAGAATTTTAATGAGTTACGCAAAATGTCCAGAGAGGCATGTTGACTATCACCAGCCTGCACCATTGAAGAACAATAAAGTCGTTTACACGTCAAAGGTATGCTTAAAGTTCTCATGAATTCCTGTGAGCCAAAACATGAGGTTCTTGCAATGAAATTTATTTGAACAGCTGACGCTTCGGCGGAATCTGTTTTTTCTTTTTGGAAAGATCAGGTTGTCTACAACTCGGTCAGGCAAGCATCCCCATCGATTCAACGGAAAAATGATGTGAGAGGTTCTCTAGCACTTCACAATGATTATGTATGGTTGGTTTACACTCGGGCTTTCAGTGGACAGTTCGTAGAAAACAGTGAGTGTGTAGAAAAGTCGAAATGATGAAGTGTTTGGCTTACTGATTGTATGAAACCTGATCAGGCTCCAAAAAGGCAAATTCCGCCGACACTACAGTATCTGTGAACTATTGGACAATGCCGCACTTAATTGAAAATGGACTAAGAGATCACAGTCCTTTTGATTTTTGAAGGTTTTTATCAGATTTTTGGGAGCCTTCTCCTCATATGTACATTTTTGTTGACCTTTGAGCATAGAAACACTTCTTATTAACCTTAGAGGAGAAACAGAGACCCTAGACACTGTAAGTCATGCTTACACAAGTTATCTCTTATTTGCTCATCTAGTTGTTTACAGACAGATAGGGAATTCTAGTGTATCTCACGTCACCATGCATTCAGTGAAATTATGTGTCACTTATTTTCAAATAACTCGGAATCCGATAACTTATTCATCCGCCTGAGATTTTTGCAACTTTCTCTGTCGTGACTGAGATGCTCTTTCCGATTAACAGATTCTAATCCTGATCAACTCAAAAACTACCGCCATAGTGAGATATCTTGGCTGGAGCTAATAGCTATGCTGTGTTGTAAGATGGGAAAATGATTTCGAGATACTCTGACATGGCCATTATTGAAACTGCTGGAGTCACTTTCATTGAAGCCACTAACTTTTATGAGTATATCTGGCATGAAAGACCACTTTTCGCTAACGGAATGAGCTTAATAAGGCAAATGCCCCAACTCGAACTTCCACGTTTCAAAGTTGCCCTACCAGATGCTAAAATATTCCACTAGAATAGTTAAAAGTATTTTTGTGAAGCTACATAGAAAAAATGGCACAAAAGTGTTTTACGCTTTGAGAAACACAGATTCCTTAACAAAAAAGAACATGCCTTTAATGAGAAAAGATAACAGATCAGCGGAACCTACAGTCGTTATCTCAGTAGGATGCTAAAAGATTTGGACCACCACCCCATTTGCTTTTGGATACAATTGAAAGCGTGGTCGCAAAGCGATGGTAGTAGAATAACGCTAGCTCGCGCACCCTATAAAGGGTAAGGGTAAAGAGTGGGTTCAATTCCCGCTGAGGTCGGTAGTTTGTGCAACCTTCAATCTTTCTAAAAGAAATATTCCAGCATCATATCACAGCTAGAAAGCAGCAATGTTAGAGAGATATAGATCATGCTTTACAAGCTTTCCAAGACAATTTTCCTATCACACAAACCAAGACTTGAGCAAGTAAAATGCTGGCGAGAATTTTGATATAAATCAAATCATAAGGTTCGTCATAATCACAAAAAAACTCTAGTTCTAGTCTTCGTTGACTGATATCCAAACTCATAAGTACAGCACCGAGATGCAGCTTCACTTTATGAGAATATATGTGTAAGATAAGCGGCTTGGAAAATCTCGTATTCCGACTTCCATATGACCTCGGTGAAGGTGATTACTAGCTAGGTTCAAAAGCAACTGCGGTTTAAAATGTCAGATTCTGCGAAAATTCTGATTTTTCAACTATTCTGATATC